TAATTGGTTGGTCGGAGTGAGCCATGAGTCCAAAAAACCTTTTGCATCATTTTCTTGCCACATCATCGTTACCATCTGAAGATTTGGTTATGTGTGCAGGAAATTCAGTTACATTTATTTGAATTCATATATCTTCGTTACCTCCCAGAATTTATTAAAGACCAATTTAAGACATACACAGATGGTTGAATAGTAGTGCTCTTCTCTTCAAGCTCATTGCTGCTGTAACAGTAAATATTGTAAGGAATTTCCATTATGTTTACAGTCACTATGAAGGCATTACCTCTATTTCCGCTTACCAGCTCAATATAGTATTCAGGCCATAATGTCGTAATTGTCTTAACTAATCTAAGACCATCTCATGTTCAATATAAAGTTATTATAGGTCCTTTCAGTAGTAGGATAATGCAACGTAATTGTCATAAAGGTCATAATATCGAAATTGTCTTAACTAATCTAAGACTATTTCATCTTGAACATCAAGTTATTATAGGTACTTTCAGTAGTAGGATAATGCAGCAAATTCTGGGTGGCAGATTTTTCTTTTCATCCGCTCATAAGTTTTTCCATTTTCAATGTCTCAAGGCTCTTATCAGGGATACAGTATGTTTTACGTTGAAAGTAGTTCGAATTCCTTGATTTGTGAATTATAAAGTGAAAGGTTATAACTGCTGTATTGAAGTATGACTCCGAAATGTTGTGAAGACCTAATTGCCATTAGGGCTTAACCCCACAGTGTTCTGTGGGCATCTATTAAGCAGATTTATTAAGATAATTCGCCGATAAACACTCTATTAGAAGAAATTCCTAGAGTATCAATTAAATGTTTTTTTTGTTTGTATTTAGCATATATCTTTATTGAATCACTTTTATTTAAAGCCTAACAAAAATTTTAGAATATTAAAAACTAATAACTACATTACAAATTATTTTATATACACATACTATAGTGAATTCTAATATGAATTGTATATCAGATATCAGATGCCTCTTTACCAGATATCCCCAATTTAAAATGAAATATTTAGATCTAACTTCTTAATCGTTAAGGAGGGAAGCTCTTTTAAGTCTCTATTGTTCTTTAAGGCACAGCAACTGGTTAAATAAAAATGACTCAAGATTGAGAGAAAACACACACTAACAAGTTTCCTGTGTAACTTTAGATGTTAAATATAGCCACTATGACATGTTAAATATAGCCACTATGACATTAAAGACCCAATACTGTATGCTTGACAATCGAAGATGTTAAGGTACTAAGTATCGGGAGATACCAGATATCAACTATGGTAAGGTGCCGTAGATGCATACCCATTTGCCAATAGTAATTTTTCAAAACAGTACAGGATAGTGCTTAAATAATTTTAGTCATCTTTGTATTCCTTACCTCAGAAATACTTTAATCCCTATTCCGAAGTGGAAGGTGAATTTAGATAGCTCAGAATAATGACGTTGTTTTTGAAAGTGTGCTTTGGGAATAATTGTAAACAGCTTCGTCTTAAATGTGGTGTGAAGATTGCAGTGTCTAAAAAATCTAACAAAGCTCACATAGAACGATAGTAGAGAAATCATCGGTCAACCAATTATTATTTGGCGGTTCACATTAATCAATGTATTCTCTTCGTTAGCATCAACCAAGTAACTGGAGCTATGATATTTTTTTTAAAAATGACACTCTTGGGGAGAAATTTTGCAAAGAAGTTTTGGCATTAATATAATACTTAATATAACATTTGGTGAGTTCATTTAGGTAAGTTAATTATTTTTATATTTCACATATTTTGATTAACACTCAAGCAAATCAAAATTGATTAAACTTTCAAAAACTAAAGTTTTCCATTTAATATTCAGTAAAACGAAATAATCAATGTCCTTTCTTCGATTGCACTTAATTTAGTAACAAGTGTCAGCAACAAAATTTGTGCTCTTTAAGCTTAAGTGACAAAACTTTATCAAACATGAAAGTTACAGTTGCTCTACTCAGCGCCATATCCCGAAGTGAGAGTAGGAGGAATAACTGTTGAAACTAGAACAGTCAATAACAAATAAGAAGCATACTCACAGGCGCTAACAAATGCTGAAACAATTTACAGAAAAACACTGTCGACTGTGCACACTTCGTGGCACTTGAGCTAAATCAAAGGAAGTGTTTTTTGGCACTGAAATATCAGCATTACAAACACTAATACGAATACAAATACTAACACAAATATAACAAAATTGTGTAAGTTTCACATGAGATAATGTGGAACAAAAGTGTTTAAAATGGCTTGAGCACCTTCACCAGAAGCCATGCCAATATACACTGCCAAGTGTGAAGAAGTCATAGTGTTGGAACTTCAATAAGCTGGTATATGCTTTACATCCTTAGTCTATATATTGGGTGTTCCATCTGTTTTGTGGTTCTCTATTTCTTCATTTCGACTTTCTCTAATCATGATTTCTTCCACAATTTGTGCCAAAATCTAGAAAAAACTATAAAACCAAAAACTTAATATTTTTGTTTATTTACAGATTGGGCTCCTTTCTCCTCTCTGTGCTTTTCTCCTCCCTACAAAGAACAAGAATTGCAATTTATTTGTAACGAATTTTAGTGAAATCTTCCTTTTCTGAATGGGCAAATGGGCAATGGCAGTGCTTCTTATCGCTGAGCGTGTAAGTTGGCGCGTTTTATTTGTGTACTTTCCTGCCAGTAACAGCAGCAACTCCACTAATTCGACATGAAAAACGAGCTCCATTTTTGTCTGATCTTGGGAGTTGAATTTTTCAATTCCACACCATTTTACGCAAAGTAATTCATTCAGTTTTTACTTGAAATTCCTTGGCGTTCGCTTGAATCTTTTATCGCTGGAAAGCAGAGTGCAACGTGGTTGCAATAAACAGTCAAATCTTGATGTTCTTGTTTCGATGTTTAATGTTTTTGGTGTTCGAGAATTTTTGAGTTAAAAACTTTGGAAGAGAATTTAAATTATAAGTACATGTTTGAAAAACAGTTTCTGGATTTATTATTCCAATTTAACTTATACATTTAAAAATCCGAAATATAGTTACAAATTCTTAGGTTTATTGAAGCAGAAGGGACTATATTCATAAGACCGAAAAACAAATTAATAACATACAAAATTGATTTGTTAAAGTAAATTTGTAGTTGGTGAAGTCGAGAACAAAGAACATCACTATAAACTGCCAAAATTAAGTTGATCCATATGCATATACTTGCTTGCTTAATCCATTTAACTTATATTATTACACTTTAATATTTTTTATAACAATTCTGTAGTAACCACCGGCTATAAACTCCCGAGAATAAGTCTAAAAAACAATTTTACTCCTCAACATTAGTTTCCTTCTATAGCTGGAATGATCAGCGCTTCTCTAACATTTCGATATCTGCCTTGTAGAAAAATGTATGCTTGACCTCAAAATTGGTGTGCATTTCAGCGTTAATTTCTTTACTCTGGACAAATATCTTCTCTCTACAACATTTTGAGGTACCCGACAATTAGCTCATTTAAGGCAAAAAATGTGAAATGCAATTCTTAAAAATAAATTTCCCCCAAAAAGGAAATTACCAAAATTTGAAATATGTATCATATATTTTATGTGCAAAATGTAAACAGACAACAGCTGAGCTGAGTAAATAAAGGCACTGAGGAAGTAATTATTTATGATTTAATGATTAAGTTTATCAATTATATATTTATTTTTTTTATATGATACATTATTAAGTAAAAGTTCTATTAGTTGCATAAATAAGTTCATTATAACGTGATCGTTCCTTCACTCCTTAATATAAATGAGCAAATGCTTTTATGAGACCATGTGAATGTACTATAAGCAACTATGAACAAAAAATTGTTAACAATGTTCTACGTAAATTCAACCAAAGTCAGTAATGCAATTCTGTGGTCATCATAAACAATTGATCTTCTAAAGGTGCATCCACATTCAAGCGAACGCTTGCGAACGAACGAACTTTTTGCAGGTACCATTACCTGCGAATGTTCGTTTGTTCGGAAGCGTTCGCTTTGGTGTGGATGTATCTTAAGGTATCGTAATTGCAAGCAACCCCCAAGTTAATTATCTAGTTTATCTATTTATCAACATGGACTCGACTTTCCTTAGAAAAATCCATGTAATGTGGCATAACTAATTATGAAGTCACAATTTTCAAAATTTATATGTTACTTCCATTTGTTTTAATATTCGCATAATATATAGCGTATCTCAATATCAACAGAAAATGTCTATAATATAGAAATTATTATAAGCTCTATAATAATACCATCTTCTGCATATATAACATAGTATTATTATTAGTTAATAGATTTCAATATACTGAAACTCTTCAGTTAAACACACATCTCCCATTGTCTCCAATAGGAAGACAATTTTTTTAAAACAAAATTTTTTGCTCTTCATTGAACAGAATGAACAGTATGTGACTGACAGTTGATGTCCACTCAAGAATTTTATCCGTACTCAAGAATTTTATCCGCACTCATTAGATTAATAATGAAAAATTTATTATTCTTAATGTTTGGACCGAGAACTTATCTCACATATAGATATAGATATACATTACATTCTAATGTCCTCTCGAATGGTAAATTTGGGATAAATTTTTTAATCAAGATTGATTTTTGGTGCAATTTTTACTTTCGATTGATAAATCTCGATGTATTTAGATTATCCTGAAACACAGTTGTTTTATGACAACTATTATTATGAATGTCTACTAACATTAGTACAAAAATATTAGATCACTTTAAAAATGTTGGATTGGGCAACAAAGTTCAGCTGCTCAAAATTAAATTTAGATTGAATCCAGATTTATCAAGCAAAAGGTGCATCCCCACCAAAGGGAACCCTTGCGAGCATTCATAGGTAATCGTACCTGAAAAAACTCGTTCGTTCGCAAGCGTTCACTTTGGTGTGGATTCACTTAAAAACGCCATAAAAAAACATTGAATTAATACGGATGTACAAATGTATGTTTGATATGTATTTATTAAATTGTGGAAATACTTTAAGGCAAACTATTACTCTTTGTTAAGCTTAAAAAGTTAACATTCTTAAGATAAATGATTTTCTTTTAATATTTCTGAGTTTCTCTTCATAGCCGTTCCAAGTATCTACATATTTTCAGGGCAGTCCGCAAATTTCCAAAGGTGAGTATTTATCCAATTGTTTAATACCCGCATAGTCTAAAAAATATTTTATCAATTATTGCAGTTTTTATTAATATAAGCAATGCTAACCGTAACAATTTTAACAATTTCGGTTCTACAAAGTGGACATGGTGGGGGCTTCTTTTCTGTATGCATTTTAAATTGCATATAACAATCCATGCAAAATTGATGATTACAACTAGACACTATAGCATTTTGTACATTTCCTAAACATATTGGACAGATAGGTGGATCCATTTTCTTAAAAACACAAAGTGATGAAGCGTTCCTTATTTGTGAAATATTTGTTGTTCCGTACAATCGCGACGCGAAGCGATTATTAAACTCTTCCCTATAATTGCACTTACTACCTAATAAATTTTCAAGAATTTTATTTGAAAAGTTTTAAGTGAAATGAAATGAAAAAGAAATAGATGCTTAAGAAAAACTGAAGACATGTGAGTAACTTTATTAAGAATAGTTCACATTTTAAAATTTCTAGCTACACCCAAAAAGTTTTTAATGCGATTGCCTCTTTGACAAATGCCAAATATACTCTGATGTTGTTAAAAGTTTGTATTACTTTGTACTACCAAATTTCACATTTAATAATAAAATTACTTTTTATTCAGTTCAGCTCTTAAATACTTAAATTATTTTATAAAAACTTTTAATTATCCAAACATACGATATATTTAGATTATCAAATGATATTTTTATATAACGTTACACTCATTTGCTGTGTCTTCTTTATGGAATATAAAATTTTAAATCTCATATCAGCACAGCACATTTCATTTAATATCAATTACTAGATCTGTTCCAACAGCTACTCGCAGTAAAACTCAAGTAAAACACAAGTAAAATACAAACTGATAGCGTAACACAAATAAAGTGTCAAATTACGATCTTTACATAGAATTTATTGGAACAGCTTTGTGTAAAGTCTGGTGCCGTACAAATAAATAATACAACAATTTAAAGTCAAACCAAAACAGCTGATTCACACATCCACACAAATTTTACCTAAAATAAAAAGTACTAGTAAAGTCTTTTTAGCATTTTCAAATTTCGACAGGGATGTTACGCTATTTCAGATGCTCTCAGTTACTCGAAAATCAATTACTCAAAGTTACTGCGAATAACTCGTGAAACAGATCTATGAGTACTATGATTAAATATTTAACTTACCTCATAGCATATTTGAACTGGAATACCTTCACCGTCCTGAACCAAAAGGGGGTAATTCTCGTTAAAGATCGTTAAAAGACTTGCCTAAGATCGAACGTAAGATCGTTTATAAGATTTTAGCTATTCTGGTAGCAAGCTGTTTTATTCTATTTTTTTCGTGGTGAAATCAAAAACAGCTGCTAATCGCTACTGCATGCAAGTATGGCAAAGTTGCTGGCTTATACTGGCCGAAATGTGCGTAAAACAACAACGTTATTTTCTCTATCCAGGCCAGTAGAAAAAAGTGTTTCCAACTCAATAAGCGAACTATTGTAAATCTTTATAGAAAACTCTAACAAATATTGCAATCATATGCCAGAGATCATATGTAAACAAAATTTTAAATTCAAAATTTTCATTGAAAATTAACAAAAAAAAAAAAAAACTTATATATAAAAAAAATTTAAAAAAGAAAATTGTAAATGCAAAGCACATTAAATTTTTTAACATGTTAGTTATTAACAAGTAACATTTAGTATTTTTTTTTTTTTCGATTCCTGGTACTTGCAGTCAAGAATTATTTCCAATACCACTGATGATGGATATTTGG